TGAACTTTGGGCCATTATTTTTTTGGCCTACTTCTTTGGTGTCGAAAGTGGCCAAAAGATGGCAATTGAGAAATCCTCAGAATTCGCGAAAAAAGGAGCAGATTCTTGAAATGCTCTTGATTTGGCTGACGCCCTCTTTGTCCGTGGTATGCGGTCACTACTTCTTAAAACCAGCTCAAATGCCACACAGGCATGGCCGTGGGTTTGCACACACACCATGCAGCACCGCTGCTACACACACACACATACAATACATACAACCCCACCACCACAAAGAGCTAAGAATTGCCATGGGCTCTGCTTTCCTAGTTTTTCTGGGTCATCCATCACTGGCTTTCCCAGTACTGTCACATCTGCGAAGCACAACCCTGACAGCTGCTACGCATCTGTGCCAAACACAACAGGCCCTCAGCACTTGGAAAAGCATGATCACGAACCAATCAAACACTTTCGATATTCCAGTGACTGTCCCCAGTGCCACACTTCTTTTTTTGGCGGAGTGGGCCGTCCTGCAGGAACAGTCCTGCCATTATGTGGCGCCACACGCGGCAGAGCGAGGTTAGTCTCATCCTCTTCTTAAGAACTCAAACGATCGGGAGGAAGCGATACTCATGCTTAGCCTGTCAATAGACTTTTATTAGGGACAGGGTGTTCGTTGAAAGAGGGGTTGGGATACATGGGATGATTGATTTGCGACCCAGTCAGCAGGTGGGGATATTCCTCCCTGTAAGAAAACACTCGGGCTCTGTGGGTCTCTGCTGGAAGGAAGGTGCTGGCCTTGAGTCTCTCATCGCTCTGGGATACAGCGCGGGTATTTGCTTTTGTTTGTGTTGATCTGCAGCTGACAGTGTGTGAGTACATCCGACCGGGGGGATCAATATTGTCTTTTACCCTCCCATTTGAGGTACGTTGAGAGATCAAGGGGGTGGCCGCTGGAGGATGGTATGAATTCTTGAGATGACGTTAGGGCTGCCACGATTTTTGGGGAATTCCGGGAGAAAATCTTAATGTTTGCGATTTTCTGGTCAGTAATTATTGCGATTGCCGATTCGATTTGCCGATATTTTTTTTTTTTAAGCGAGGCCCAACGGAAGTTTATTGTAAAAATGCGGGGCGCCATTATCTCGGGCCCTAGCGAAGCGTGCGATCAACGTACTCCCGTCTCTAGCACAAGCTGAGCTACGAGTGAAAAACGTAAACTACATGAAATCCGCTGTGGGTTGCCTTTAAAGGCAAGCTTCAGCTTTAAGATTCACCCTGCTAATCAGAAACATGTGAGTGGGAGCCGATTTAGCGTGCCTGACTCAGATGGTTTGTGTTCACCAAGCCATCGCTAGGGGAGAGCGTCCATTGGAGAGGCCATTGGAGAAAGTATTTCGCGCGAGAAAAAAGCACGGCCGAGGGTGATTGGGACAATCCTATCTTATCACACCTTGCTATCATGGGGCCACTTGTCCTGATTGGTTTAACAATGCTGGGGCTACATGGTTGAAGGCACGGCTTCTGGCGATTTGGCTGTGGCGATGGAGCTGACACACAAGAGAATTTTTTTTTTTTAGAATAATAATAAAGTGTAAAAAGAAAACAATGTTTAAAAAAATCGCCAGGCCTTTTGCGATGGTTTGATAATCGCCATCATTTAAAATCGCCGAATTGTAAAAACGCGATCATCGTTCAGGCCCCTAGATGCGTTACGTTAGTCGTTCATATTAGCTGTTAGAATTGTTAAATACGGTTTTTGTTATATAGATGTGGCGCGACACAATTACCGAACAAGTAACATTTCCCTTCCTGGCTATGCAATGTGTTAGAATTATAAACCAAGTTTAAAGGGTTAAAAAAGGCCACTAAAACGTGTTATTAATGTGACTGATGTCTAAATCAAATGTAACAATACAATCAGAAATCCACTCTGGAATCAACGTCAGGACGATGAAATTAGTCATCCCTTGAATGCGTCCAATAACTCCCTCTTCATGAGTATCTTTGTATCGGAAGCGATTTCAAGTGTACCATTCATCATGCTGTCTGATTCTTTTTAGCAGAAAAAACTGATTTATTGTAGTATTTATGTTTATCTTAACTGGACAGAAACGATAATAAAAGAACTCTCGTCAGAATGAATCAGTAGCCCGTCTCTGGAGAAAGTCTGAGACGCCTCGAGCTAAATTTCCATTCATATTTGAAATGCCAGGGTGGAAATATGCCTTTGCGGTTTATATCCTGTGCAGAGAATAAATACCTATGCGATTGCCATTGACACGCGGGCTGGCAGCCAGTGAGGCACACAGTAAGATGGAATGGAAGAGGAAGTGGACAGTTTGTCTCTATGCGGCAGTATCCATGGTCGTCAGTGCGGCCGTCCACAAGTGAGCGGTGGAATGTGAGTGGACTGGGGTGAGACATGGACTGCTTTCAGAGCCAGTGGAGCCTTGGGGCTCTGGCTGTGGCTGTGCTCGTGAGGAGTTGAGGACAGCAGAGTGGAGATAAGCAGACAACTCTCGCTCCGTTTAAAGGCCTGTCATCTGGAATGATAATCATGACATTGGCAGCAGCGGCCCACTAGTAGAGCGGCCAAGCCCATAAGGATCCTTGTCTGCCCCACAAGAGATTAGTACAGCTAATCAAAACATGGTCCTTCTCCACCCAACCACCACACAGTCAAAAAACACAACACTTCCCCAAGGTGGTCCTCCACCACCAATGTGCTGATGAAGAAGATAGTTGATGCTGAAAAAGGAAAAAAGTACGCATACTTATAGCACACATTACTTGGAATAAAGCTGTCTTAATAATTTATCAATACACTTATCTCCCCTGGGTGGGTGATGGATTGTATTTATACTCATCATTTATTCTTTGCTGTCTTGGCACTGGAT